CAGTGAGCTTGTCTGGTCAGAAATGCTAAAGGGAGTTGGTTCTTGGAGGTGAAATGAAAGGCTACTTATTACCAAAATGAAACACATGAATTAAAAAAAACTCCCTGGCAAAGGTAAGGGTAAAGTTAAATCCAGAATTCTCTAATACTATTTGGTAAGTATGGTGTGCAAATCACTTTTAAATGTAGTATAAAAGCTAAAAAACAAAACATTAAAAATAACTATAGCAAAGAACCTCCTATAAGAAAATCAGAAAACAATTCATAAAATGGAGTAATAAGTCCTTAACTATCAAAACTTACCTTGAATATAAAAGTATTAAATTCTCCAATCAAAAGATGGAATAGCCAAATAAAAATAAAATAAAACACGACTATTTACTGTCTGTGAGAAACGCACTTCACCTATAAGGTCTCAAATAGATTGAAAGTAAGGAGCTGGAAAAGATACTCTGTGCAAAAGGAAATAAACCAGCAAGAGAAGCTATGCACATATCAGGCAAAATACACTTCAAGTAAAATTGGACAAACAAGCAGAGAAGGTCATTGTATAACGATGAAGGTGTCAAATTGGCAAGAAAATATAGCAGTTGTGAATATTTATTTACTCAACATTAAAGCACCTAGATTTGCAAAGAAAATAATGAACATAAAGGGACAGGTAGACGGTAATAAAGTTAATAATGGGGACTTTATCACCCTACCATCAGCAACACACAGATCATCCAGCAAGAAAATCAGTAAGGAAACAGTGAATTTAAACTATATTGCAGACCAAATAGACCTAGCAGCATACAGCACATAGCTTGTCTGTTGCTGAAGGTGGGTGTCGAAGTTCCACTGCTGTTACACTATTAATCTCTCTGGATAATGTTACTCAAAAGGTGCAAAACTCCAGTGAGAAGGATCAAGTTCAAGAAGTCTGTGTATGACATGGTGACTGCAGGTAACGAGAGTGTATCGTACACTTGAAATTGCTGATAGTCCATTTTAAATGTTCTCACCACAAGCATATATTAATATGAATTAATGGATGTGCTAATTGAACTTCATTTAGCCATTCTGTAATACATAGTCCAAAGCATCATGTCATACATCATAAATATATACAAATTTTAGGTTCCAATTAAAAATGAAGAAAAATGAGATTATTTCTTTTGCGAGGGCGTAGATACCTGAAGGACATTAGTTGAGTTAACCCAGACACAAAAAGACAAGTGCTGTATGGTCTCGCTATTCTAAGCAATACTAAATAGTGAGAGTTATAAAAGCAGAGAGGGGAGTGGTTATGCTAGGGGCTGAGGTAAGGGGGAAAAGGAGTAGTGTGTGTGTGCGTGAGGGTGTGTGTGTGTGTGTGTGTGTGTGTGTGTGTGCGTGTATCACTGAAGATTGAAAACAGATCCTTTGCATTCAGCTATATCCACAGCCCTCTATTCATTTTTAATTTGAGGAAAGATCTTACTAAATCACTAATTTTCCCGGGCTAGGCTTGAACTTGAAATCCTTTGCCTGGCAAAGATAAGAGTAAAGCTATATTCAGAATTCTATAATACTATTCTGTAACGACGGTGTGCAAATCACTTTTAGCTAGGCATCCCAGAATGGAATGCAACACTATTCCCAGTTTAGGTACAGAGCTCTGGAAATTCTACACAGGTTAATGCCTGTAAATAATACTGTATTCTTAAATTTTTCAGAGAAGAGAGATCTTATCACAGATAATCATAATATGAAGGAGGAGAAAACTTTATAAGATAGTTGATATGCCTGTGGTCTTGATGAAAATGGTGTCTCAGTTTCATGGCATTTTATATGTTCAGTAAATAGTTTTTTACATGTTGACCATATCTTAATAAAGTGGTTTTAAGAGTCATTAAATGTAGTTGGCTCATGCTAAAAGCAAAAATAAAAAATTAGCCTATTTACTAGCTATTCTGCTCCAAACATTGCACTACATAGCAGAACCTGATCTCATGGAAGAATATACTTCCAGTAATAAGGGAATCAGGTCATAGTAAGAAGCCCAAGGTGAAGCCAGAGAAGTGGCCAGTCCTGTAGACCAAGTTAAATTTTACTGTGGGTGTGCTGTGCTCTGAAGGTTTTATTTCCTCTCAAGATTCATATGTTGAAACTTAATCCCCACTAACATGGTATTAAGACAAGGGTCCTTTGGAAGGTGAGTAGATCATAAAGGGAGGGTTACCACAAATAGGATTTAATGTCCTTGTAAAGGAAACCGTGGAGAGCTACTGTGAGTCTTCTGGCATGTGCGAGCACAGGTGAATTAGAGAGCAGGACTTTGCAAAATACCTAATCTGATGATGTCTTAACCCTAGACTTTTTAGCTTTGAAAACCATAAGAATATGCTTTTGTTGTTTATAAGCTACCTAGTTTATTGTATTTTGTTATTCTGAATTACATGTAACTCAGTGGAATATAAACTATTTCATGTGATTGTGGTTTTTATTTACCTATATGATGTCATGATACATGACATGCTTCTTGTATTTATTACTTATCATTTTGCTATTAGATATTGTCTTTTGAATGAATTCATCATTCTCAACTGCTTTCATTCTGTTTATGTCTATTTCACTTTAGACTTCTCCTCCCATGTGAAAGATGTCCAGGTAGCGACAAATAATGCTTTCGTACCTATCTTTGTAAGTAGTACCTGTTACAAGGGTACTACTTCCTGGAATAAAGGCCCAGAAATGGAATTTTTGTATCATAAGGCATATACATAATTCCATAAGAAATGGCCAGATTGCTTTCAGAAAATTGCTAAAACATTCTGTCCTTCTACCAGTAGAACACAAGTTTCCCATCTGCTCACATCCTCACCAACATGTTAGTTTCTGCTGTATCACTCAGAGATCTCAGCTGTAATCAGAAACTACTCTAGAAAACGGACCATATTCAAGGAAATCAGTGTATAGCACTGCTAGAGGGCCAAAAAATTAGTGTTTGACAACTCCTAGTGTGTGTGATCACTTTTAAAAGGAATAGCTTCCAGCTCCCTAGAACATTCCTGGATGTGTGAGAGTAGCCAGACCCTGAGAGAGAATTTCATTCTCAAAGGGGCAGAGGGGGAATTACAAGTTTCATGAAAGCTACACTAAGAAAACAGAGGCCAGAGACCTGTATCAGGAATCAGACTGTCTAGGCTACTGAAGCTGAGAAGGTAAGGCCATCTTGGCCAGGGCATAAGAACCAAATAGATAGGGACCATAATTTCCACTGTGGGTACTGACCACATCCACAGCTCCCTCCACTCCGTCCCCCGTCCTCTTTTGGTATTATTTCTTGCTCAGATTGTTCACTTCCATGATAAACAGCGATAATGTTCATTTCCCAAAGAATAGTTGCAGGCATATTTCTCATCCCATGTGCTCTTCTTAAAATATGACTTTAGCATTCCTCACATCAGGTGATAGACTTTGCATCCTATCAGAGCAAGCCTTTCTACTTTCCTTGACAAATAGAGTATGTTTGTGTGCCCTTTTTAGAACACGTTATGAAAAAGTCTAAACTGTTAAAATGTCATACACTCTCAATGCTTTGCCTTGGAACCCAGCTGTCATGCTGTTAGAAAGACAAAGTGTCCCACAAGAGAAAAACACATGGAGAGGCTGGGTGTGCATATTTAGCAGACAGACCAGAGCCGCCAGCCTGCCACCACCATAGGAGTGCCACAGTAATCTGCTTTCTTTTGTCAGTAACACACCACCACAGAATGAGAAGTTTACATATATTTCTAAATAAGTTTATTTTGGCTCATGGGTGTGGTGGTCTAAAGTTAATGACCTGCATCTGGTAATGACCTTCTTGCTGACAGAGTCCTGAGGTGGTGCAGGAGGTCACGTGGCAGAAGACAGCATGCTCATGTGTGTGTTCCGTGTTTTGTGTCTCTCTTATAAAGCCCCTGGAATGGAATCATGGTGCCACAGCCCCATCATCTTATCTAGTCCTCCTAATCATTGCCTGAAGGGCTGGCTTCTAAACGCTATAGTCAGATCAATTTCCATCCTTCTCTTTGACACAATGGGACCAGACTTACTGAACTCCACGTAAGTGTTAGAGAGAACCAACCACAGTCACGCCATGCAAAATCCAGACAGAAGATTCTGACTTCAAAACATTTGACTCTTCTTAGCTGAAGTCCAGCTCTATTTGAGCAGAGACAAGCGACTGTGTCCTGTCTTAATTCCTACACCATAGCATGCCTGAATGTAATAAAATAATTGTTTCACACACTAAACTTCAGGGTGCCATATTAGTCTTGTATTGAGGGTGTAACCTGAACTCCAGCTGCCTGAAGGACTAACTTTGACTTTGAGGACACAGGAACACTCCGAAGATGGGAGCTGGCCCACAAAGTGATATTTAGATTTCCAGCTTCCAATTTTCCAAGTTTGTTCTGCTCAGTGAAAAGTCACGTCTCACTATTTTAATTATCTGTCTGTCTTTCTTTTATTGTTAGTGTTTTGGGTAATTATTTTACTTACCTGTTTGTTGTTTGGGCTTTCCTTCTGTGGATTGACTATGCATAAAATGTAGCCATTTCTATAAACAGATTTTCTTTTCTTTTTTACTGATTTACAAGAATTCTTATTTATGCAAGATATTAGTCTGCTTTTTCTTTCAGGGACTGCAGATATTTCCAGTGTGGCATGTGTTGGTTAACTTTATCATAGTGTCCTCAGTTGAACTGTCTTTCTATCTCAAATTTAAGGAACCTTTTCCTTTATCTTCATTCCTGTATGTTCTATTAGCTTTGTGGATTTAAAGTTCACTTGAGCTGTGGGAGTTGTTAGGAGTCCATTTTTACATGTGACACAAGGTGGGGAATCAGGCTTCATCTTTTCTATACGATGAGTTAGATTTATATTTTTTCTTTTTGCTCATTAATGTTTTGTGTTGTGACTATTATCAAATAGAATGTTCTATTCATCTGTTTCTCAGTTTTTAATCTAGTCCATTTGTCTGTTTACTCTTACCATCACATTGTTCTGTTTCTGTTCTCAGATCTGTCTTGATTTTGCTGCCATCTCTTTCACCTGTAAGGTCCCAAGTATTTCTTGGAGCCATTTGACTTCATTCCAAGATGCTCTAAAAAGTGAAAATTTTAAAAATTATTGAAAATTCTCTTCAAAATTTAAAATTATTTTTCTTTAATCTCATAACAATTGTTATTTTTTACTACATTCTCATAGGCTTCTACTAGCCTAGTATTCTATTCTTTCTTATACTGAAAGTTTGATAACCAAATTTCATTTGATCTAAACAGAGTAAATATTGATCCTGCAGAAATAGGGCAAGACATTAAACATATGGCTTTGGGACGTCTGCTTTCAACACCCAGAGACCTTTGCTTGTCCTCAGCTGTCATCTTCAGATATACTTTGTGGGTAAGGGTTTTGTTTCTATGCACAGGAGCTCTTGTAAACCTCTGGAACTCATTTCTGAAAGGCTCCACAGTGATGTTAGACCTGAGCACGGGAGATATTGAGTAGGAAGCAAAGCTGTAGAACCTTTTGAACAACTATCCCATCTCCCCAAACTTAAAACAGAGATGCCCAGTTTTTCTTTTCATCAAGCAATTTTTACAGAATACCTTTATGACCCACACTTAAGCCACTTAAAAATGTATTTGTTTATCAAATGGTTATTGAGGCTCTAAAACCTGCCAGATCCTATACCAGGTGCTGGACGTTTATAAAACACTAATACAGTTGAGCTCTGATCTATGAATTTTACTATGTCTAACAAGTATTAGTAATTACATAGATTATTTTTTAAAACCAGTGAAAATAACTTTATCTAGAGCATGACTGAGAAAATTCAAATAGGTTCATTGATTTAATATATTTCAAGGTATGTGCTGCCAGCACCCCTGCCTCCCCAAGTACTTAGTCCATAGTTGAAAGCACTAAGATAAAAATACCCATTTTAACCATTGAACATGTTCTTGTATTGCATCCCCTAATGAATGCTTTATAGTGGGTTACCATGAAACAGACTGCACTTATATTTATAAATATTTTTATTTTTACTTCTATAAGCTCAAGCTGTACAAATGAAATGGAGTTTTGCAAATGGGACAGTGAGATCATTATTTTATTATACTTTGGTCTATGCATACAAAAGGCATTAAATTTTGAGGGAAAGGAATGTAGAAAATTTTTAGAAAGCCTCAAATGAGTAATATGACAGGCTAATTGTTTAAGTCAAGCTTTATCTTCAGTACAGGTGTTTATGTGTCATTAGTTGTGAGGAACACTGAAAACATGAAATTAAGGATAGCAGCTTCATAACTGCAATGGCTAATACCTCTGCCACTAAATTTTTCAGAGCCCCAATCATATTTTCCTTTAAACTGTATCAATCATAGTTATCAACTGTAGCTTCAGTTTGAACAAAACATGAAAAATTAAGTCTAACTTTTCATAAGGGTGGTGAGCATGATACAAAGAATTGTTTCCCGATGATAAAGATTATTATAACTAGAACAACTTACATGGGGAAGTAACTGATGTACCTTCGCTAGGGAACTTTAATAACTGTATCAATTCAACTTAAGTCAAGGTTGGTCTTATCTCTCAACCTCATGCTCAGATGTGAATATACGTGTATATATGTATATTAGTTAATATACTGGATAAAACATGAGTTAATGTGTATTCATTAATGTGCATCATACATTAGTTAATATATTTTATGTATTATATGTATATTAGCTGGTATATTATTTATATATTAGTTAACATTATATGTATTAGTAATTATATAAGAAGCCTAATTTACTGTCACTTCCATATATAAGGAAAGATTTCAGAAAAACATTTATTTTCCCACTTGATAAGTTTTCTTCTTTTAGATTCTCCCTGATGTTTTAATAAGAAGCATCTTGCTTCCATAGAAAAGTTTGATTAACGTGGATCAATCTGCCACTCCTTAACAGGGACAAGTGATCCATACGTGAAGTTTAAAATTGGAAGAAAAGAAGTTTTTAGAAGTAAAATAATACACAAGAACCTCAATCCTGTGTGGGAGGAAAAAACTTGTGTTCTTGTCGAACATCTTAGGGAACCATTGTATATAAAGGTAAGCAATTTGTTTGTTTTTCCCTAGTGAAATCTGACATAGAAGCCCTTGTTTAACAGCCTTTTTATCATACTTGTCTGTCTAATGAGATTTTTCACTGGAGACACATCCTGCCATTCACCACTCTAATATATTGATAATGTAATATAAATGAAATAAAAGGGGTCAGATGCTAGCAAAGCCATTTCTCTTCAGGGTGCTTCTACCTTAGGAGCATTATGAGGCACATATGCTCCAGCTTGGTGCTATCAACTGATCTAGTGCATTTTGGGAGCATATGAAAATAAGTATCCATATAAACTATTGAGAAGGAGAGATCAACACAGAAACTAGCTTTTCTGCTTAAGAATTACATTGTTTAAGCTTTTCCTCTAGGAGCTGCCAGGTTAAGAGGACAAAGACTTTCTCCTCCTCCCACCATGGTATACACTTGTCTACTGAGATGGATGTTCTCCAAGAAGGAGGTGTGGTCTGGAAAAATGTTACTTTTCTGTGTTCAACACTCATTCAGCTGGATATTGTGAACTTTCTTCACATCGGCTTGACAGAGTAATGAGAGACAGCTCTGTGCTGTCCTGTGATGAAGCAGGTGACTAAACCTAGGCTGAGGCTTGGGTGCTGGTAGAGCCATGGTGTGAATTTGAATTTCCAGAGTTTGCATTTCAACAAGGACACTTTCAAAGCTATGTTTTGAGGCTATCACATTTTTGCATCAACCAAAACACTAGAACTTCTACTTCCTCTCAACCCAAAAGCCACATGCAGTCTGCTCTACATTGGCCACTTCTGCCTTATCAGCGCTAGTCATGTTTAAATGTTGTCGCATTGCACAAGTGTGTGAGCTTTCTGGTGGGCCAAAGGTAAAATGGAAAGTTTCCAGATGAAAGAGGATGTTTAGACTCTTGAAAAAAAAAAAAAAAAACTACAGGCTTGGAACGTTATCCAAATACTCCATGCTCCCTAGGGCAAAATGGGAGCATCATGTACAGCTCAGGGGGCCCTGCCTTGTGTATAATGAGAACAGTGGCATCACTGAGGCTTGTAGAAGAATTCTTGGAAGTGCTGCCCTTAGCATAAGCAAACAGAATCTTTTAAAATTGCTCCTTGCAGAGTCCTAAAAATGAACCCACCAAAAACCCTGAGAATGATGTCAGAGCTAAAGCTATCTACTATTACCGTGTGCCAGTGCCATTCTTCCCCAAATTAGAGGTCACAAATTCTGGGTGGATAAGACAGCAGCAGCAGGAGGGCCAAAGTGGAGGAGAATGGGGTTGCATACAAGAAGGGTGTGCCAGAGGAGAAAGGAAAGGGGCTTCTGGTAGTAGGGAAGAGGCGAAGCCTTTGGTGTGGACAAGAAAGTCGAAACTACCAAGAAACCAAAAAGTGAAAAGAAACCTACTGCATACTCCTCAGTGTGTTTATTCTGTGTAAGGCAAATCATTTTGGACAGCTTAGTTTGAATAAATACCTGATCCGAGGCAATCTGATTAAGTTACATTAACTAAGCTCCCTCATCCCTCGCTGCAGACAAAATTCTTTACTTGGGGAATGAGGAGGGCAAAGATATTGGGAAGAAAACTTTCTTCTCTATCTTATAACCAAAAAAGATTTCAAAGGCTTTTCATTAATTTGAGGTAGTTTTTAAAAGATGAAACCTTAAGGAATTACAAGACTAATTATGTGCTAAAAATTTCCTGTTTTATTTTTATAACTAACTTCCCTTTCCTTTATTTCTCTGTGATGTTCTGTGCTCCTAAGTTCTGACTTTTCAGCAACCAAACTTTCTCTCCTGTTACTGCAGTGGGTTGTACATCATCCTTTTGCTCTAAATTGGTGAAAAATGAGCCTCAAAATCTCACATAGTCACTAATTCAACATTCATTGGATAATTAATCTTGCCTGAAAGGTTTCTTAAAAACTAATTGATTCTGTCATTATTGGTAACATGAAAATTCATCTGTGAAACGCAGGTTAGAACATATTAAGCCTCTGACCCTCCTATTTGTAGCTAAAGGAGAATGAAGTGTTTGAGTATCTAATTGTGCAAATGTAAGAATTATAAAAGGCAACAAAATTTATTCTGAGCCAAGGTTAGTAAAACTATGTTAAAGCTGTAGTGTTTGCACTACTTTTGTAAGAAAAACAAAATTTTTGGAAAAATCTTAGAAATGTCATATTTTATCATACTGTGCATAAAGTAAAAATATACTTTTCATTGGATTCATGTAGTTTTTAATTTTAGTGGAAAGAGTTATATTTTTAACTCTGAATAATTTGTAATGGCAAATAAGAGCAAAATTCATGAAAGGAGTTATAAGCCTTTATAATCAGGTAGCAGCATAAGTTAGGAGTTAAAATGCAGTACTTTTAATTAACACAGGAACCATAGAAGCAAACTTTCTATATACACCAAGTACATCCTACAGCTGTAGGGTAAATATAGTATCCATACCAGTTCAGTTGAATTCAAATTCTGCATCATGATATGGACACCGCTATTCATAATTACAGAAGAGCTAGAAGTAATGTTTGTGATACTCTGGTTTATGTGTCCCAATTATAAGTTGGAACTTTGTACTTTCAAAACAAAATTTATTTTAATGCATACATAAAATGTAAAAATTGTACATATTAACAAGTTACAATGTGATGCACATATATATCGTGTTTTATATATATGATATATATACATATATATGACAAATATATATGTCATGTAATGTTTAAATCATATTAAATATGTGTCTTCTCATTTAAAATTACCTTATGGCAAATACTTTCAAAAATTTTTCTCCTCTACTAAAAGGAACATTGTACACAAATGAAGAATAGAAGAACAAGTAAGTATATAAAAACAATCAAGTATCCAAACACAATAAAATACCAGAAATTAGTGCGTATCTTTCAACAACAACCTTGAACACAAATGGTCTTAATTTTCCAGTTAAAAGACTCCTACTGTCAGATTAAGTTAAAAAAACAAGACCCACATACAATATATGTTGCCCTCAAGGAGCACCTCATCCAAAAGACATACCCAAAGTAAAGGAATAGAAAACAATATTCCATGCAAATGGAATCTGAAAGTAAGTAGACATATTCAGGACAAAGCAGATTTCATGTCAAATGCACTGAGGAGACAAAGAAGTTCTCCACATATCAGTAAACGCAACTAGCCACCAAGAAGATATAACAGTTACGAACATATGCATGTCAAACATTGGCATACCCAATAAAACAAAACCCACTCAACAGAGAGCAATAGAGAGATCCCAACATAATTATAGTGAGTTACTCTGGTACCCCCACTTTCACAGATATATAGATCATTCAGACCCCCCCCCAAAAATGAAAAATACCAGATGTAAACTACAGAACTTGTGAATTTCAAGTGTTCCATCCAATAAGAGTAGGATATACATTCTTTTCAGAAGTTCATGGAACTTTATCAAATTAGACCCTATCTTAGGCTCCAAAGCAAGTCTTAACACTACAAAAAACTGAAATAATCTCATGCATACTATCAGTTAATATTAGAATTAAACTATAAAACAACAGAAGCCTCTAGAAGCTAAGCAAACATAGAGATTGGATAATAAACTTTTATATGATTAATGGGTCATTGAAGAAATCACAAATAAACTTGAAAAAAATTCTTAGAATAAGGTGATAGTGGAAACACAATGTATCAGAATCTAGGATATAGTGAATGCAGATCTAAGAGGAAATGTAGCTATCAGTATCTACCTTAGGAAATCAAGAGAGCTCAAATAAAAAACCTAATATGTATCTCAAGGTCTTAAAAAAATAAAACTAAGCCAATCAAGTCCAAGATTTAAAAAAGCAGCAATAAATATCACAGCTGAAATTAATGAAATAGAGTCTTACTAAAAAATATAAAGGATAATTAAACAAAGAGTTGATTCTTTGAAAAGATAAGCAAGATAGATAAACCTTTAACCAAATTAACAAAAAGATGGAGAAAAAAAGAGTACATTTCAACAAAATGGAGTTGAAAAAGTCATTGTTTGACTTAGTTACTTTTCTCATTGTTGAGACACAGTACCGGACACCAAAAGTTAAAGAATGAAAGGTTTACATACCTCATAGTTTGTAGAGGTTTCATTCCATAATCATCTGGCTCCAAGGCAAGGAGGTACATGGCAGAGAGGCAACAGTACATGGTGACAGAAGGCAGCAAAGGCAACAAGAGTGAAACAAGCTTCTTTCTGTCCCTTATATTGTATCTGGTTCAGTGGAATTAGGGCAATGCCAAGCCAATCAGCCTACTGATCCACCAATCACTCACCCTTAATCCCACCACAGTTAATTCCAGCATTCCATTGTAAATCAATCATACATTGTAGATTCAGCTACCACCCCCCAAATCCCTAGGACTGCATGAGGCTTTGGGGGGGGGACATCTAGACATAGCCATTAGCATTCCATCCCTGGCTCCCCAAAGATTTGTGCATATTCCTTTACCCCCATAAAAGGAATTTAGTCCATCTCTAAGAGTCTTGAAAGTCCCCCAAATTTCAACATAGTTGAAAAGTCTAAGTCCAAAGTCTCATCTGAGGTTTCAAGCAAACTCTTAGCTGTGAGCCTCTGTACAAATGAAAAAAAAGTTAAACACTTCCAACACAAGATAGAAATTTTTATTCCAAAAGCTAAAAATATGGAGATACAAAAGAATGGCACCAAAATAAGTAGAAATCGAGTGGAGCAAACATTAAGTCCTATGGTTCCACGTGCAGCATCCAAAGTACTGTGCGGCAAGATGGGAACTCCAAAGGGCTTGGATGTCTCTGTCCCTATGGAACTTCTGGCGGTTGTTGCTTCCATGGCTTTTTTCTGGGGCTGCTGGGCTTTCTCCTTGCAGTTTTCCTCAGTCTACCTTGCTGGCTTCTAAAAACTTCTGAGTTCTCCACTGCACCTTTGGTTTCACACTCACAGCTTCACACACTGCCCTCTCAGGGAACACTGCCTGGAATCCCAGGCCTTCTGAAATCGGGATGGAATCCTTAATGATTCTATAGATTTTTCCATGGTGCATGCACTTGAAATCAGCCCTACATGGATGATGCCAAAGTCTGCTGCAAGCAGGAGCAGTACTAGGCTTCCTTCTTTCTCACAGTCTAGTGCCTGGATCACTGAGTGCTTTGAATCCAATTCTAAGGAATAAATTCTCTAGGCCCCCACCACTCTGGAACATGGTGCAGCCACTGCCATTCTGAAACATAGTGCTCTGTGACTTTCTTTTTAAAGCAAAATCTTGCATTTTTTCAATTTTTAAGCTGCAAAGGGCAGAGTTATGCTGCTTCTTGTGATGCCCCCAGGCCATCTTTACAATTCTGTTTCTTCTCTGCAGTCAAAATCTCCTCTGCTCTACCTTTACATCCCATAGCATTACTGGATCTTCCTTTGTGACTAAACTCATAATGTTTTAATTCATGCTACTGGGTACTTAGCTCTTGATTCTCAATATAAATCTGGTTAAAAGCTCCCAACAGTAGCCATGCCAGCACTTAACATTAAACTGTCTTGAAATTTCTTCTGCCAGATTAATTAGCCCACCACTTTTTAATCTTTGTCTCAGGAAATGTCTTTGGATGTGAATAAAATGCAGATAAGCTTTCTGCCAAGCCATAACAAACATGACAATGTTTTAAATACTGTCATGTTTAAGGCCCTGAAGAAACAAGAGTAGAAGGATCTTCCCTCAATATAATTAAAGTTACATACGACAGACACACAGCAGAAGCGGTTGCATTGTGGTCCAAAAACCAATGCAATCCTTCTTCCCAGTAGAAACCTCTGTAGCCTGGTCCTTGCTGGAAAGATTTCTACCAGCCTTCTGGTTTGCTGAGCTTTAACCTGAATTTCCCATACAATACAGGCAAAGGTTTTCTAGTGCTAATTTTTCAGCTAGTGTCTCCAAACCTTTCTAAACTTTTCCCACAATCCATTAACAACATTTCCTGAACCACATGTTCATAGCAACAACCCCACTCCTGGTGCCAAATTTTGTGTTATTTACTTTTTTGTGATTGCTAAGACAAAATACCCAATACCCAAATTTAAAGGAGGAAAAGCATTTAATTCACAGTTTATAGAAGATCAGTCTATAAACTGTGGCTAGAAGATAGGGGGGCAGACAGCAAAAGTAACAAGAGAGAATGAGGCAAGCCTCTTTTGTTCCTTACATTATATCCAGTCCAATGGCATTAGGTCAGTGCTAATCTCATTAATACACGAATCCAGCAATCATCCACCTTTAATCCCAGTATCAGACTATGAATGAATCTCATGTTCTAGATTCAGCAACCTTCAAAAAGATCCTGTGATTGCATAAAACTTTGGGTGGATATCTAGACACAAACCATAACAGTGTTACTACAAATGCCACTAAAATTCAGAGGATTATTGGGAACTGTTTTTAAAACTTTATTCCAATAAATTAGAAAATCTAAAAGAAACAAATAAATGTCTGGATATATGTGACCTAACAAAATGTCACCAAAAGGAGATAAAAATACTTTATCAGTTTAAGAGCAAGCAATAAGATTAAAGGAATAATAAACTACAAGAAAGTGAAGGATCCACAAAGAAAAGTGAAGGATCAGATATATTTACTAAAGAATTTTACCAGATCATGAAGAAAAAAACATCAACACTCTTCAAGCTTTTTCATGAAACAGAAAGGGAAAGAATGGTCCCAAATTAATTCCTTAAAGCCAGTATCACCCTGATACCAAAACTAAATAAGAACTTAAGAAACAATTAAAAAGAGAAGAGAAATATAGAGCAATTCTCTTGATGAACATAGATGTGAAGGTTTTCAAAAACGTTCTTACAAACATAATTCAGCAACATAGTAAAATAACATATCATAATCATGGTTTTATCTTGATAATGCAAAGAGGGTTCAATGTTTGTAAATCAGTAAATGTAGTACACTACATAAATAAAATCAGGTATAAGAAACACTTATCATAGCAATAGATTTAGAAAAATACAGTCAGTATAATTCAACACACCTTCATGTTTAAAACCCTAAAGAAACAAGCATAGGAGGATCTTATCTCAATATAATTAAAGCTGTCTATGACAAACACAGCATCAGCATAATGAATGGGAAAAGCTGAAAATTTTCTTTTTAAAATCATGAATGAGACAAGAGTGTCCATTCTGAACCATTTTTTCTTCAGTGTAGTATTTCTTGAACTGTTTGCCAAGCAGTTAAGCAATAGAAGGAAATAAAGTGATAGAAAATAGGAAAGGAAGAAGTCAAAGTATTCCTATTTGCAGACAGTGCTCTATCTGCAAGACCATATGATGTTGAGATCTAATAAATTAAGTAAAGTGGAAGTACACAAAATCAGCATACAAAAATCAATATATTTTCTGTACAGCAATGATGAATTTATTTGAAAAAAATAAGAAAGCAATACCAACAAAGTACAGAACACTGAAGAAAGAAATTGAAGAAAATACTAGAAGATACAATGACCTCTACTTATAGATTGGCAGAATTAATATTATTAAAGTGGTCACATTACCAAAATCTACAGAGACTCAATGCAGTCATCATCAAGATACCAATGACGTTTTTTCACAGAACTAGAACAAAAGTCCTAAAATAGATACAGAAGCACAAATGAGCTACAATAAACAAAACAATCCTAAGCAAAAGGGCAATGGTGGAGGTATCACAATTCCCAATTTCAAAATGTTCTGCAAAGCCATGGTAACAAAATGACATGCTATCAGCACAAAAATAGACAAGTAGACCAATGGAATAAAATAGGCACAAATAAACAAACCTATACAACTAAAGTTACATGATTTTTGACAAATAGGCCAAAGTCATGTGTTGGAGAAAAGATAGCTTCTTCGGTGATGCTGGAAGAACTGGTTATGTAGACCTTGAAATTATCTTATGTCTCACCTTGAACAAAAGTCAATTTAAAATGGATCAAAGACTTAGGTATGTAAAATTTGAAACTACTGGAACAAAAGTAAAGCATAAGGAATATATTTGAAGTCACAGACACAGGCAACAACTTTCTGAATAAGATTTAACCACACAGGAAATAATGGTAAGACTCCCTAATGTAATTGCACCAAGTTAAAAGAGTTGTAGAAACATAAAACTACACCAAGTGTCTATCATCAAGAATATGAAAAATATTCCATGCTGGCAAGGATGGAGGGTGAGGGAGCAACCCTTCCACGCTGCTAATGGGAATGTAAATTAGCACAGTCACTGTGGAAATCAGCATGGAGAATCCTCAAAAAACTAAAAATAGAATTGTCATTCAATCCATCTGTGTACCACTCCTTTATATACTCCCAAAGGATTAAAGTCAGCATACTATAGATATATGTAAGAATCCATGTTTAATAGTGGTTCAATTCACAATAGCTAAGATATTGAGACAGTCACATTGTCCTCAATAAATGAATGGAAACCAGCATGTTAAAGAAGCCAGAATCAGAGAGGCAAATATTACACATTTTCTCTCGTGTAAAGCATCTAGGGAAAAATAATTAAAGGCAGAGAAATGGCAGAATGGTAGAAAAGTAATTGTTAGAGAAGAGGAAGAGAATTGGAGGCAGGGCTAGGAATGGGAGCAGGAAAGAAATGATTGGGTTATGTTATATGCATACATTAGTGTCTCAAAATGAAGCCCATTAGTCTGTATAACTGATGTTCACTAATAAAATATCCTTTCTTCTAACTTTTAAAATATGTAGGACAATTATTTTCTATAGTCATCTTAATGTGCACACCAAAACTTCTTCCTAACTTTCAGTGTCAAATGATTAACCTTTCCCAATTCTTCCCTCCTTTTTACTCTCCCCAATCTCTAAAGTGTAACTACTATTTTATTCTCAATTTCCACGCCATCATTTTTTCTAGATTTTACACATGAATGAGGTCATGTGAAACTTGTCCTTCTATAGGTGGCATATTTCACTTAAAATAAATTTGAACAATCCTCTAAATAATATAAACATTTAAATAAATTAGAAAAATTGTTACTAATCACATTACTATCTCTAAATTGATTCACTGTAACAAAATTGACAGTTCCTTAAGTAACTGTAGATATCCACACTTAAGATTTAAAATTAAAATCTGCTTAAGGAGAATATTATCATCCTCTATAAAATATTAAGGAGAATATTACTACCTTCTATTGTCTCTATGGGAATAT